AACATAAGTAAATAAGTAAATAACATAAGTAAAATAGCCTTAAACCTAAACTTACCAAGTGGTTGAGAGTTGTCAATTCTTCACCTAAGAAAATTAACAGTTGCACATAGTTGAATATCAAAGCAAAGTTTGTGCTTAATAGTTCATATGCAGTGAGATTAAATATTACTGTAAAACCTAAAATCACATGAAAAGGACGTAGAGTTATACAGAGATTCAGGGTGATAAGTAAAAGGTTACCAATGAGGTAGTTAATGTAATCCTTTCTCATCTTGTCCACACCCATCTCTAACAGCATGTGGACGGGGGTGACACCTGTGAGAGACACATGATCGATCTGCTGGTGGTAGGACTGCAGGATCAGCTTGCTGAGGGAGCTGCTGCTGTCTCTGTGAATCTGGAGGAAGTGATAGACAACAAAACGAACAAAAAACACTTAACACACATCAACCATCAATCTTTTTCTCAGTGTTAAACGGTTTGCAGTAGTATAATTTCATACCCAGGGTTTAATGTCACCGTATCTTAGAGCTTCAGTGACCAATTTCAAGCAATCTCCGATGTCTTGGTATGAAGTCACACCTGTAATGAAAAACGGAGAAAAATGATCGTGGGTTTTCAGCTTGTAATGCTAAATCAAATCAATCCTAGTTTCCTTCATAAAGAAACTGACTTACTCTTTCTCATCCGAACCCACAGCTGCTCCACAAAATCCAAATCCCCTCGTTCCATGAGAGAGTTGAAAATTTGAGTCTCTGTCTCAGACTTCATCTTTGTGGTCTTTAAGAAAAGATGAAGCAAGACAGTTACCTAATTTATTCAGAAATGAATAAACTTGTGAAAAGTCCCTTGATTTTAACATCCTACCTCAGCTGGTTTTGCAGCCTGCTCCTGTAGTGTCTTTGCAGTGCTCTGAAGCTCTGAAAGAAGAAGAATAATAATAAGATCTTCTTAACTTTCTGTTAGCATTAAATCACAGTGAATGTGCATTTATTTAACAAAGCTGATACCTTCTAGCAAGGCCTTGGTTAGAGTTACAGCTGATGTGCTTTCCAAAGGTTCCATCCATTCAGTCTCACCAGTTCTCAAACCATCGGCAAGAGTCTGAAACAACAGGAGGAATCTCATATAGCTAGGTGTTGTTTCTTTTATTGATACTCACGATCATTCATCTCGCTGTGAGATACAAACCTGAAGAAACTCCAGCTCCCTGTACATCTCAAACATTGGGCTCCTCATATCCCCACTGGCAACTTTGATATTCTGCATGTGAAGATAAACAAGGCAAGCACGCAAAAAATCCATTACTTTATTCAGTATCTTAAAATTCAACTCTATGTACACATAAAAAGTGGTATTTATGGTAAGTAGTTTTGAGTGTTAATTACTGGTGCTTACCAGTGTTGCTGTAGAGGACAGGGGTGGGGTCTCAAGGATACTCTCCACATGGCTCCATTTAAAATCCACTGTCACACTACTCTGTGACTCAATGGTGGTGTTTTCAACAACAGTGGAGCCAAACAAGTTGAACCTGGCACTGCCTTTAATCGCCATCTGGAAGCATTGACAGATGTAAGTGAATGAACATTCATTCACACTGTCTTACAAGAAAGGATACACATTCACTTACCGAGGATGGGTGATGCCTTTTCTTGTGCTCTTGTTTAAGATCGCCCAAAGTTACAAGAGATTTTTTGTCCACAGTTGAGCCTAACAACATTTGAGTTGGAATGCCAGAAACATCAAAATCACACAGGAGTACAAATATTCCCTAATAATATTTTATGGGTATGTTATTCAAAGAGCTATGAAGCATTTGAGATATACCTTTGCAGGTAACGGAGTATAATTTGACACCAGATACTTTATTGCCCATGCAGACTGTTTCAGCTCCAAACCAGGTTGTTCCAGATGGATCAGACATGTCACATCGCACCCACAGAGGGTGTAAAACAGGGTTGTTATCCACAGCTGACACATTAGCATTTTGAGATAATGTGTACCAAGACAGCAACTGCCTGTAAAAAGAGAAAGAAAATACCACATTTTGATCGTCATCTACAGTGTATTAGATACACTGATTACATAATCCTACCAGCACTTGCTTTATTTGGAAGTGTTTTGGAAGCTTTTTAGCTTTGGTCACCTTGCTTTCATGATTGTGAGCGGCTGTGGTCCCAATTCTATCTGGACTTCATTGGCATCCTCTTCATCATTATCATCATCATCAGCGCAGTTTGATGTTTCAGTCATTTTTTGATCATCGGGTTCATTTATTTTTGGAACCTTGTAAAAATCACAAAGAAACATGATGGTCCAATGGTGTGCATTAGTGAGGAGTTAACAATATTGTATGAAAAAAATATATAAGCAGGTTACAGTACACCCCTTGCTTTTACTATGGTGCATGGTTATAATACACAATAATGGCAACTGAAGTAAAATTCAAGGTTAGTGGAGTATACTGATTTCTATTTAAGCTGTTAAACTGAATGTTGACCGCCTCATACCAACATTAACATCCTAAACAGCTGGTGATGTATCAGATGAACCATGCACCAAGAAACCTTAGATTTCTAAAAAAAAAAAAGACTATGTTCTTGTGTTACTGAAATTACATATTACACAGTAACACTAGAGCTTGCAGACACCCTGAGTATATATAATAAGTCACAGCATTAACACTACTCACAAGTTTTTCACAGATGAAGACTGGCTGGTTGCCACAGTACAAATTCAACACAGGGACTCTGTCTCCATTCATCTTTAATATTTGGATGTCCTCCTGAAACCCAACATATACTGTATCAACATCAATACCATAACACAGATTATGTTGTTGTTTAATACAGCAAACTGCGACAGAGTCTACTTTAATTTAGGTACAATTAAATTACCTCATATGTACACGGATCATTGTGTTCCTCTTCTTGAAGAGACCTTAGACCCAACACAAATAACACAACAAAAATCAACCTCTCTTTACGTACATGATAAGTTGTGGTTATTGAAACAATAAAAATAGTGAGCATAAGCTAAAGGCTGCCTGGCGTTCATTTAACGTTAGCTAGCTACAAATGAGTAACGTTACACATCCAGTAAACTCACCGAAGAACATCATAAAACTCTTTAGCACAAGATATCATCTTTGAGCCCATTGCAAAAGTATAGAACAAATGTCCTGTTACGGAGGAAATAACGTGGAGAAATATATAAAACCGAGGTTTTAACAGACTTCTGGACTTTGGGCTGCTACTGTTGATATTTTTTGACAGTGGCGCGCTAACTGGGGCGGTGACGTCATGGGGTCACAGGTCATGACTTTATCGTTATACGTTTACGTATCAGAAATTAATAATAGAAGTTAGCGAAATGTACACAGCGCCAATACCAAATAAACTGTTAAACGTAAATAAATTAAATAATATTTTTAGAAGAAAACAGTTTATTAAGAAAATATAGTTCGGCCTTTGTGGTCATCATGCGCCAACATGGCGTAAAGAAATAGTCCCGACTGTAGCAAAAAAAAAAAAAAAAAATTAAGTTGGTTTTGTTTCGCTAGTATAATTTGAATGAAAATACTAACGCAATTGTTTGTTACAGTCGTACAAATTAATGATGTGTGTTTCTTAGCGATAAGTAAAACGAAGCTGGAAAATGTATATGAACGGAAGTGATATTCGTCGAGGCGGAGGCATAAACCTCCCAGGGTGATTCACCAACTTCCTTTTTACTGTGGCCGCCATAGCGAGTGGAGCGTGGTCCCCGGCGAGCCGAAAAATAAGTATCGAAAATGGTGAGAAATTGTACTCGGATTGTTGTTAATACAGCATATTTTGCGCAGGCAGTATCTCGTCGTTTTTACTTGTACAAATAATCCAGTATTTTCTGCCGTTGGGGAGCTCAGATTCAGATTTAACGGGGCAGTGAGTCGGTCTGCTCCCGGCAGGCGAGGCTAACACGAGGAGCCATTTTGGACGAACAGTTGAACCGAAGTTACACGTGTGTTTGTCGCCTCGCTGCTACACCAGTAACACGCAGACAGCAGATGTCACTCATTTAGCTGGCATCTGTGTTTTGATTTGGTCGCTGTAGGAACTACTTGTGGTATTTAAGAGTGTTTACGCACTGAACGCCGTCTACAATGATTGAACAAGGGAAAAACTGACTTGCTGAGCCACGTTAGCATAATCGAGCTAAGCTAAGGCCAGCAGTCGCAGATTTCTCGGTGAACTTTTCTCCGTGATGTTAATGGACAGGCTCTGCTGCTATTAATGTTAGCTGAGCGACAGCCACACTTGATTTGAAATACTGTTTGCCCTGAGTTTTATCAGACTGCCTTAAACGCTAGCAGTGTGTCTCAACATCTTAAATGATATATTTCTGGTATCTTGGGAGTATGCCTTACCTTCTCAAATGCAGCGTTATGTATCTCAGCAGCATGTGTAACGCTCAGTGTTCATTTTGCTTTCTAGGCCTGTGCCCGACCCTTGATCTCGGTTTACTCCGAGAAAGGAGAAACTGCAGGCAAAAATGTTGTCATGCCTGCTGTATTCAAGGCTCCAATTCGCCCTGATGTTGTGAATTTTGTTCACACAAACATGCGCAAGAACAGCCGCCAGCCTTATGCAGTCAGTGAACTGGCAGGTGAGTGTATATGCCGGTGCTCAACTCACATGTTGATCAAGGTCTGCTCTTATAGTTAAACAGTTTTTTTAAGATGGTGATTCAGGTCATACATTCACAAATTTGTATGTATCTATTTGTTGTGTCTGTAATTTAGCTGTGTAATTGTTTATTTCAGGTCACCAGACCAGCGCAGAGTCCTGGGGTACAGGAAGAGCTGTGGCCCGTATCCCTCGTGTGAGAGGTGGTGGTACTCACCGCTCTGGCCAGGGTGCTTTCGGAAATGTATCCTTTTGACCAGAATTCAGGCTTACATCTTTTTTTTCTCACCTTTTTGTATGTGTCCAAGCAAACTGAAACTGAATGAAAACACTTGCCATGATGGTGTAATTTGCGTCTGATTTTGTGAACAGTGACGGTTGCCTGCCGTCATATGCTGGCACAGAAAGCTGACGACCAACTGAGTCTGAGCAGGTTTTAGGTACTTCAGTACTTGTGTTGCTGCAGGAGTTGTCAAAACCTCCTTGACTTTGATCTAGATGTGTCGCGGAGGACGCATGTTTGCCCCCACCAAAACCTGGCGCCGCTGGCACCGCAGGATCAACACAACCCAGAAGCGCTATGCCATCTGCTCCGCCGTGGCCGCCTCTGCCATTCCTGCACTTGTGATGTCCAAAGGTGAGCTCCAAAAGCAATATTCGTAGAGGACGAAAAGACTTATAGAAATGTTCGTAGTGCAGCTTAACGTTTGTCTTGCCATGATGGTGTAATTTGCGTCTGATTCTGTGAGCAGTGACGGTTGCCTGCCGTCTTTAAGCTGTCACGGGGAATTGATGAATGTTAAATTCTGAGCAAGCTCTGGTAATACTAGTCTTTGACAGTCGCACAAGTGTGTATGTGGATTGGGTTGACACAGTGGTTTTGTCTTTTAGGACACCGCATCGAGGAAATCCCTGAGGTCCCACTGGTGGTTGAAGACAAAGTTGAGGGCTACAAGAAGACCAAGGAGGCCGTGCTCCTGCTGAAAAAGCTCAAAGCCTGGAACGACATTAAGAAGGTAATATTTCTTACATTTGGCCGGACTCAGCACTCAATTAGGGAACAAGTGATTTGAAAATGAAACTGTGAATATGAAGTTGGGTGCTAATTTCAGCATGAAAAAGATTTGGGCTTTATATCCATATTGTATCAATGTAGGAATCATTGCTCTTTTTATACATAAACCCTAATTTTTGCTGAACTCCCTTGAACATGTTATACTCGCCTGAATAAAGTGACTAGGATCTTATCTGATGTTTTTGATCGTCTAACCTTTAAAACCTCAGACTGAACATGATACTTTCAGTAGAATTAATTAAGAACAATTACCTGCACGTGGTAACTGCCTAGGTTTAGCACACTTATTAGGCTTTACCAGTTAGTTTTTATTTTGTTTAATGGCATATTGAAGTTATATAAACCTTCTGTTCTCAGGTCTATGCCTCTCAGCGCATGCGTGCCGGTAAGGGTAAGATGAGGAATCGCAGACGTATCCAACGCAAAGGACCATGCATCATTTATAACCAAGACGCTGGTGTTACCAAAGCCTTCAGAAATATCCCAGGTATGGTATTTGGTCAAATGCCAAATTTGTTACTATGTTAAATGGATTTCAGTACAGTATCTTATTACTTTATTTATATTGAGAACCTAACAACTTAGTTTGTATGCAGTGAGTATTACAAACTAAAATGAAGATGAAGTAGAAAATGGGACAGTGTAGGGACATAGGCAGTAAGACTGTGCGCTATCCTTTAGAACCCCATAGCTGTGTAGTTATGTACGTGTATAATGACTTTTTCAATCTTGTGGTTATGAAAGTTTTGAATAAGTAAAAGTAAATTACTTTTTAAAAGAAGCAACCTATCTTTACCTTATGTGACTCCAGCCTGGTGAGTGTTTAATTATTGTGCTGTATTGTATTGAAGGCATCACTCTGCAGAACGTGAACAAACTGAACCTCCTGAGGCTTGCCCCTGGTGGTCACGTTGGACGCTTCTGCATCTGGACAGAGAGTGCTTTCCGCAAGCTGGATGAGCTGTACGGCACCTGGCGTAAACCTGCTTCCCTGAAGCTCGGCTACAAGTGAGTATTTAAGAAGTAATTGTAAATAATAGTAAAACCAATGTCTATCACATTACAGTGATGAGCTTCCACTTCAGGTCCGTGTTTTTGAAACTCTGTGATATTTAAGAAGTTCTGAGTTTTAGCATCAAAAGACAAGACAGTTTACTACTTGACACGATGGATTTTAATTAAATTATTACTTTTTATTTTTTTCCAGCCTGCCCATGCACAAGATGACCAATACCGACCTGAGCAGGATCCTTAAGAGCGAGGAGATCCAGAAAGCACTTCGTACACCTAGGTAAGCACTGCTCAGTTGACATTTTCTTTTAAAGCTTGTCAGCTATGATGATGTTCCACTTCAGGTCCGTGTTTCTGAACCCTGATTATATGGAAGTCCTGAGCAATACAGTGTTTCCTGAAAACGTGCAGTTTAGCAGAGGTTCAAGTTATTAAGACAGTCTTTTATTGTAATTACAGCAAGCAGATCAACCGCAGAGTACTGAAGAAGAATCCTCTGAAGAACTTGAGGATAATGCTCAAACTGAACCCTTACGCCAAGACAGCGAGACGTCATGCCATCCTTAAGCACGACCCTGCGGTAAGAATATTAACAATTTAAGCTGGAAGAAAAAATTGTAGACTGTAATTGTAGGGTGTGACTTTGAACTTGTATGTTTGTTCTTTCCAAAGATCAAGGCTAAGATGCTGAAATCCAAGAAGAAGCCTGGGAAGAAGGGAGCTCCCGCCAAAACCAAGGCATAAATCTATAAATCTTTTTAAAGACTGGAGTTCAGTGATAAAAAAAAAATAAATCGGTTGATTCAAATGCACGAGTCAGACCTGTCATTCAAAAATTTGTCTTATAAGACTATTTATTTCACATAAACTAAGATTGTAATCTGATGCTGTAAGTACACAAGGTAAAGAGGAATATAAAGCACACAGGTTGAGCAGCAGTTACGATTACATTTAATCATCATATGGCTGTACAGGCAGGCCTGCAATGTAGCCCCCAAGAATTGTTTTAGTTAATTTCACTTGGCATGTAGGCGTTTGCAGTTAATTTACAACTATTGATTTCACAACCTTTAAGCTTATTTAGTACTCAGTGTAAACATACTTTTCACCCATAATGCCAATTCACTTATTAGTGGACCATCAGGATATCAGGTTTGTTGTGGATGTTTCACATTTCTGAAACATGGATGTCAGTCTAAGTCCACTGGTACACTTGATTATAAATGGAACAACAATTATAAAGTTAAACTGCAGATTTCATTTTGAAGCCTTTTACTGGTGTTAATCCATTTTGTATGGAAACGGTAGGCTCTTTTTATACAGTACCCTCAATTTTGGGGGAATTGTGACTGTTTTACTCACCTAAAGTAAAACTAAGCTGCAGCACAATCTCAGTAAAGCATGACTGGGTAAGATGAGTTGCAGATGGATCGAACACAGAAGACAGTGAATCATCTACCACAAAGACACTGGTGTCACCAAAGTCGGCAAATATCTCAGGTGTGTTGATCAAATGTATAATTTATTGCTGTTAAGTAAATGTATATCAGAACAGTATTCTAAATGTTTATATTTAATACAGTGTATAATTCATATCCTTTTTACAAGTTTAAATTAAGATGAAAATGCTGCAGAACTCTAATCTGAACCACCAGAGGCCACGCTGGATGTTGGACCCCTCTGCATCTGGACAGATGAGCTGTATGGCACCTTACATAATCCTGCTTCCCCGAGGCTTGACGACAAGTGAGTTTTTAAGGAGCAATTACTTTGTAGTACAGGTTAAACTAGTGTTGGATCACTTTACAGTGATGAGCTTCCACTTCAGGTCCGTGTTTTTGAAATTCTGTGATATTTAAAGAAGTTCTGAGTTTTAACATCAAAAGACTAGTCTGTTTTTCTATCTGAATCAATTTCAACAGGAATTTAATTCTTTATTATTTATTCCAGCCTGTCCGTGAACAAGATGACCAATACCAACCTGAGCAGGATCCTAAAGAGCGATGAGATCCAGGAAGCACTTCGTACACCTAAAGTAAGCACGGCTCGGCTCTTGATAGTTCTCTTTTTTTTCCAAGTTTGTCAACTATGATGATGATCCACTTCAGGTCCGTGTTTCTGAACCCTGATTATATGGAAGTCCTGAGTAATGTGTTTCTTTAAAACTAAACAGTTTTAGCAGAGGTTCATTTTAACACTGTTACATTGTCATTACAGCAAGCAGATCAATCGCAGAGTACTGAAGAGGAGATCCAGAAAGCATTTCGTACACCTAGGTAAGCACTGCTCTGTTCTTGATAGGTTTGTTTAAAAGCTTGTCAACTATGATGATGTTCCACTTCAGGTCCGTGTTTCTGAACCCTGATTATATGGAAGTCCTGAGCAATACAGTGTTTCCTGAAAACTTGCAGTTTAGCAGAGGTTCAAGTTATTAAGACAATCTTTTATTGTAAATACAGCAAGCAGATCAACCGCAGAGTACTGAAGAAGAATCCTCTGAAGAACTTGAGGATAATGCTCAAACTGAACCCTTACGTCAAGACAGCGAGACGTCATGCCATCCTTAAGCACGACCCTGCGGTAAGAACATTAGCAATTTAAGCTGGAAGGAAAAATTGTAGACTGTAATTGTAGGATGTGACTTTGAACTTGTATGTTTGTTCTGTCCAAAGATCAAGGCTAAGATGCTGAAATCCAAGAAGAAGCCTGGGAAGAAGGGAGCTCCCGCTAAAACCAAGGCATAAATCTATAAATCTTTTTAAAGACTGGAGTTCAGTGATTTAAAACAAAAATAAATCTATTGATTTAAATGCATGAGTCAGACCTGTCATTCAAAATGTTGATTCACCAGACTATTTATTTCACAAACAAATAAAGATTGGCGCTGTAAGGACACAAGGTAAAGAGGAATATCAAGCACACAGGTTGAGCAGCATTTATCATGATTAAATAATTTGATCATTAGAAAAAGATGGCTTTTCAGGCAGGCCTGCAATGTAGCCCAAAAATTGTTCAATACATAGTTTGTTAATTTCACTTGGCATGTAGGTGTGTACACTAAATATACAACTATTGATGGCACAACTATTAAACTTATTTAGTACTCTGTATAAACAATACTTTTTTACCCATAATACAAATCCACCCATTAGAAGATACGGGGGTTTCTTGTTGACAGGTCTCACATTGCTGTACCGTGGGTGGGTGTCACAGGCTGATTGAGTCCAATGGTACTGCACAACCAGCCAGCAAAGTCAACCTGCTCTGCATCAGACTGTTTGATAAAAGAATGCACCTGAAGAAAAGGAAAGATGTGTAAGATGGTAAAGAGATGAAGAAAAATGTA